GACCCCCGGGGACTGACCCCCACGCTGGTCCTCCGTCCACACTCACCTCCGGGCCCCTGCACGTGCGCAGGGCCGCCCAGGCCACTGGCGCGGGAAGCGGCGGCTCGCGGAGGAAGGCCTGGAGCTCTGGACACAATGGACACGACCGGGCGGCAGGAGCGGCCTCCTTAGACTCGGGAGGGGCCGTAGTGGTCACCTGCTCGGCCTGATGTGACGGAGACAAAGGAAAACTCGCATCACAAAAGCTGCGAGCACAGAAACGCAGCCGACACAGCCGCTCAGCACAGGTCTACTTCCGGTTTCTGGGATGCGAGCGTCACCAAGAAAATGCCCCGGGCGGAAACAACGCACACTGTTCCTAAGCTGTGCTTTGGTTCTTACTCTCGAGTTTAGAATCAAGGCTCATTGATGTCCCCACAGCTCTTTGTCATCTACTCAAAAGGGAAAAAGAGTTACGGGGAGGAGGGAAGGGGGTCGGGTTGTTTTAAGAGATAACAGCGACAGCCGCTCAGTACATGCCTACTTCCGGTTCGTGGGCCAGCAAGTGTTTCACATAAATACCGCCGGGCAGAAACTAAGAGCTCAGTCCTTAACGAGGCCCCCACTTTTTTTTTTTTTGTAAAAGATGCACAAACAGAAATAATAGATTTCATTAACAAAACTAAGGAGAGAAGCACCATTCTTTTCCCAGTGCACAGAGGCGAAATCGTGTGCATGCATGCAGAACCATGACGTCCTGAAGCGCTGGCATCGAAACACCAGGATCTTCAGGGAAGGGGGGGACCTTGAATCTAGGGGATTGCAAGTCACAGGTTCAAGATCAGACCTAGAGAAAGTGGGAGCAGGGCGCTGGCACTCAGGTGCCTCCGTCTCACCTTCAACGGATAAAGAGATAAATCATTTTTTATTTCCATACAACCCTCAGGGTCTAAAGAAACACTTTCCAGAACTGGGACTCATATTGTTTCTACACACACAGAGACTTCAAAATGTCTAGCTAACAGTCAAACTGTTTATAATAACACTCTTCCTGAATGTTTCCTCCTCAACTGGGAAAAACGCAGTATAAATTACATATATGAGTTTCTGTAAATTTTTCTCATTCACTCATCTGTGATACTCACCTGTGAACCAGCAAAGAAGGGCAGATCTATTTCTCAGCAGAATCCTCATTTCTTTCAGATCAGCACTTCTCAAATGACCCCCTGTTCACTGCCACTGAGACAGCTCATAACAACAGAACTCTTCCTAAATTAAATGTTTTCCTCCTGACACTGGAAAAAACGTGGTTCACAGCACACATGCTACTTCCAATTCATGTCTCTCAATTTTACATCTGCTTGAAGAATGTAACCAGCAAACGGCAAATTCCCTAGCATCATATTTTGCAAAATTAATAATCATTATATAATAATATCTTTTTCCGTTTTGAGTAGATGACAAAGAGCTGTGGGGACATCAACCAGGCTTGATTCTAAACTCGAATTTTATTATTTTTAATAAATTTTATTATTTTTATATTTATTTAACAAATTATAAAGAGAGGTTCATGAAATTTGCAACCAGACCAGGAATTGGAGGAGCCATGCAGAGGGTAAGAGGTCATTATACTCAGGATATATATGGCCAATTAGGCTTAGAGGTGGTGTGTAGGTCAGTTCCACATTTGCTTAGTCCATAAGACGTTAAATGCAGCTTCCTACAGGCCATAGCCATCTCCAGGAACTCACCTCTTGTGCACGGGAGAATAATGAGCAGTTTCATCACATGAGATTTAAAACCTTGGAAAATGGTGTTTTGGCACCAACTTGGTAGCAATACATACAGGACCTGGAACTTCTTCCTGTCTGACATTAGGAAAATTTACATAGTCTCTGTGTAAAACGCATGCTAGGATGAAAGGTCAATGAAGTCACGCCCTAACAAACTCACAGCCACCGTCCATCAGTTTCAAGGGTAAAAAATTGCTAGGTGCAGGGAGCTCTGGTGGCCTAGTGGTAAGAAGCTGCACTGCAAGCCCAGAGGTGCCTGGTTCAAATCCACCAGATGCTGTGCTGGAGAAGGAGGGACAATCTCCAGTTATACCAACTAGTCAGATCTGGTTTGATGGTTGTTGTTTGTTGTTATGTGCCGTCGAGTCACTTGCGACTCATAGTGGCCTTATGTACAAGAGCCCTAAACCCTGCTCTATTCTGTGCCAACCTTACTGTCTCTGGCACACCTACTCCCACTACCCCAATCACTGAATCACTCCATCTCATGGAGGGCCTTCCTCTCCTGCGCTGTCCCTCCAACCTCCCAAGCATGATGTCCCTCTCCAAGGACTCTTGTACATAGGGTCGCTATGAATCGCAAGTGACTCAATGGCACGTAACAACAACATTAGACAAAGGGATTCTGTTTTGGTGCTGGGTA